TGTTTGCTTATTTTCTTTGTGCACTTCTAGAAAGTCTGTGTGAGCAGGCTCAGGGTATGGGTACACGTTAAAGACAAATGTCACAATTTTGTCTGATTCTGTTCTGTCTCTGCCATGCATTGACCTTGGTATCTGATTTAAAACCTGTATATACCTTTTCCCCCACTCTGTGTGAGTGTGTGTTGTTGTTTTCTGAGCCAAGTCCTGCATATTACTCTGTTTCAGTGGAGTATGTTGATTGCATTTGTTTGGTTTTTTTAATAAATTTTCTATCATGCATTCCCAATCTAGTATGCATTTAATTGCTGGTAAGAAATTGTGAAAATAGTAACTTGTGCATACATTCAGTCTTTTCAATTGCCCTCTCCTAAACACTTCTTCATGTGTCTGAGAGGTATGAAAAATGAGAGTAGATAGTGCTCTATTAATGTTTTGATTGAGATCAGAGGTGCTTTAGTAATTGTAGTATGATGCGACAGGTACATATGGCAAGAGTAAGCTATGGTTTTGTGCCGATGTGGGGTTTACCTGGAAGAGGAGTGAATCCCCTTCTTCTGGCACTAGCCAATGAATCGGGTACTATCATCTTGTGCAGTTCAGAGTTGTACCATGTTTCGTACCTGTAAACCTGGGCCTACGGGTGCTCTTGATGTGTGTTGCAGAACAAACTGATCTGAACGTTTCTATTGGTTTCTACATTGAGATTTACCAAGATCTTTCAAGAAATGGGACTCCTAGTTTAGTTTGTTAATTCAGGAAAAGACTTGCTTGATCCTAAAGGAATAGTAAGCAGCTAAAACATGAAAACAGCTGTACATCTGGGACATTACTTCTCATCTTTCTGCCCTTTCCTTCCCCTGTATTGTAAATCAAAGCTTTTGCAGGTCGGAGCCGTTTAGAAGATGGTCTTCTAAACCCTGCAGACTCCTTTGGTCTGGGCTGGCTATTTTGTTTACCTTGCAAAATATGACATCTGTTACAAATGCTCATGTGTATGGCACATGCTTGAAAATCTTTGGAGTTATGAATGTAAAAATTGGTTGCAAGAAACCTAAGTTCAGACAGGAGATAATATTGAGAGAGGAAATGTGATGATGTGCCTTTTCTAGCACCATGTGTGCATACTTTGCTTCCATGGGCTGACTGTACCAAGGAATTTGCCTTACAGTAATTCAAGAAGGGGAAAATGCAGGACCAAGACATTTGATTAATCAAGTGAGGTGTATTTGTAGGCATATCAATGTGTGGAAGTTACCCTGTTACTCAGAAGCACTGCAGAGACCTTCAGTGTTGTTTGATGGAGAAAGACTGTGTGGTTTGGTGGCCAGAGTAGTTCTGGGGACTTTTTTTAAGACTAAGCTGTAAGAGCAGTTAATATATGTGGTGATGTAAGTTTAATTACAGTGTGTAAGCCGTGAGAATATTACCCCAGTGGCTAGCCAAGTGGCTAAAGGGTGCTGAATAAGTAAAGTAGGTCAGGTTAACTCTCTTGTGATTTTAGTGCCATTGACTTTCTGTAGTAATTCTAATGGAATGTGTCAGCAACAAACCTAGTTAGGAGTAATAAGTGTTAACTGAGCTCTTTTCAGTCACCATCTAAAATTGAATGCTAGAATTACTTTTTTAAGATTTCTGAAAAGATAGTAGATTTTGTTTTGTATGGTTTTTTTTTTTCTTGCGGGGTTGTGGTTTTTTCATTTTTTTTAAATACTTGATTAATGTGCAAAGTACCTAAATGGATGCTCTGATATACTTTCAGTTTTAAAATTTTGTTACTGCTGCACTTTTTGTTTAAAATTGCATTTTAAGAAACATCTAGTTTTATGTGTTGATTTCAAGACATTTTATTTAACACTGTCATAAACTAAACATGCAGGGAGTTGCATTTATCTTGTATTAGTAAGATAGTGTTTCCCACTACAGTGTGTGTGTGTATATATACTTTTTTTATATGTGTGTATATATATATACACACATTTCATATAGATCTACTATCAAGGTATCTAGGGAAATACCAGACTCCCTAACTAAAATCCTGTGTAGGAAATGCAGGTTGTTAGCTGGAATTGTTTTTAGATGGCAGTGAACTTCAAGGAGAGTGGTTGTTTTTTTACAGCCCGCTTGTTTCCAGCACCCCGAAAAAATTCTCAGAATTCAGATACTGTTCTTCTGAAATGGCATTTGTAAGTAGCCACATAGTAGCTGACGCATAATGAATGAACGTATTGTAATGGACCAGAAAGATCTTAAAATTACATAGCTTGTCTTTCTAGACAGTCTGGATATTGCATGCTTCTGTGGAATTCAACTTTACCATTGTTTGGAAATAACCTCTGAGATACCGGTATTTGACCTAACTTGATTTCCCCCCCCCCCAACATCTTAACCTTGTTATGTTTTGATTTTGTTGAATGCTGATTTCTAGAAGTTGATGAGTTTCTAGTTTAAATTCCTCAGTACTTTCCAACAATAGCAAGCTGTTTATGTGCAAAAGAAAGGCCTATTGCAAGACTTGAAGTCTTTCGTTCAGTGTTGTTAAAATTCAGAAATTATATATATTATATGGCTCACAAACTAAGAAACTTTACCAACTTTATGCATGTTTTCTGTCAGTGTTGGGCATAGATGGGGAGAATGCTTGGCTCCGAAGATAATCTGTCTAAGAGGGAATAACTAAGAAACTATCTGGATGGACTTAGTTTTTCTGTCACAAAAAGACCAAAATCCACAGTCATGACCATAAATCTTCATTGTTTTTTTTTCCTCTTCAGATTTGGTTCTGCATTATATTGTCATTATGATTAAATAACTGATTTCCCTGTTAAAGCTGCATTAAAGTGATCTATCCTGTGAAGCCGTCTTTTGCTTTGCCTGTGGCATTGGTTTTGCTTGCCTATCCAGCTGCTTATCTAAAAGATCCCTTCGAGCACCTACTGGAAGTAGGCTAATCCTATGAAGTGTATGAAATTGGCAATTGATATTAGGGTTGCTGATGCTTCTGTTAGGTATTGTATTTCAAGTAGTGAAGATCTAATTGTGTGCATAAATAGGCTCAAAGACTTTTAAAACTTGCTTGTATAGCATAGTGCTGTAGCTCTGGATGGGGTTCTAGGTACAGCTATAATATTAATTATTAGCACCATACAAATACTCATCTTGCTGGGAATTTTCTAGGTGATGCTTTCATTTGGGCTCTGGTTTATCATGTGTTGGACTAGTATCTGATGTTGAAGGATTTTAATTATGTGCTTCTAAAGGATAAATACTATTGCCAGGGTGTTATTTAATGGTTTGAATAAATTTGTCTGATATACAGAATCTAAACATGGCTTGCGTGGTTGTTTCTGCAGTAATTTAGAAAATGGTTTAGCAGTGGCAGTAAAGTAGTATTTTTGCAGAGTGTCTCATGTAATGACAAGACAAGCACAAAATTATATTTAGCACCGTTCTCCTGGTCATAGTGAATAATTAATAATGCTGGAGGTGATGTAAGCAGAGTTGTGCTACATTTGGGAAGAACATTCTGGTTGTAGTATACTCCTTGTTTTTTCCGGTTGTTTTGCAGCTGTTTGCTAGTTTTCCCAATTCTGCTAGTGCCTATGTCCCAAAATAACTCAGCTCAGTGGGACTATCTGTAAGCCTGGGTGTTTACAGGAGGGGTTTGACTTCAGTCTATAATAAATGCACATTGAAGTTGGAAGCACTGTTTTAAATTTCCTTTTGTATAAAAAAATAATTACCTGTGTAAGGAATGGCAGGTGAGATCAGCACAGACCAATATTTGGTTGGGTATTGGGAGAAACACTGAAACCTCGCACTACCTTCTGACTCTGCTTTCAGCTTAAGGTCAAAGATCTGGAAAACTTTGGTCTGTAAAGAAACAGGCTCAGTTAGTGCTCTGTACAAAGATATTGAGATACACACTTCTTGATTGAAGCAGTGAAAAATGGGAAAATATCAGGGTGTCTTGAGTATTTTTGGCGCTTTATGCTTACTGGGAACTGAGCGAGCTGGGAGTAAGCATGCCTTTCTGTTACAAAATCTAAAAACTGGTCTGAGAAGACACTGTTTCTACCTACAGTATTTGCCTGCCTTAAAATCTGTAATTTAAAAGATTAGAGGCTAAGCTTTACCTGTTAAAGACTTATACTCATCTGCCACTAATGTTAGAAAGCATTTGAAATAGTGAAACATTTAACACCTCTTTGACATCATCTGTTATTTTGGTTTCTTCTTGGAACATTCCCAAGCCCCATCTGTATCTTGCCCCTTATATACTTGGAAGTTAAGAGTACAGCAGCAGTGCAGATTTCCAGTGACTAACATTTCATGTGGGATGATGTGTTGGTATGCATTAAAAATAACATCTTTTTAGTTCCTCAGAATTTCTGAGATTCAAAATATATTTATGAGATCTCATGGGGGTTTCTTTTTAAGACTAGATTATTTTAAAGGTAGCTCATTACTTGAATAAGAACTTCTATGACTTGCAAAAAGATGCAAACGGGTTTGGGGAACAAAGCTTACTTGAAAAAATATTTTTCTCATACTCTTATTTGAGATGAAGAAAGTTAAGAAAAAATAGAGTGAAACCTCGCTTCCAAATATGCCAAAATACAAATTTTTGTACGGTTTGTTTTTAAAAGACTAAATTTGGTTATGAATAGAGAAGTTTATTTGCAACATAGTGGTGTAGTTTGGCATAGTTTCATATTATCAAAAACAAACAAACAAAAAACAAAAAAAAAACCCCAAAAAACCCCAACCTGTAACAGTTTGTTAATTGCTGCCTAGGTGTCCCTAGTTATACTTTTGGAGCTGGTAAAATCTTTTTGCAGACCGTTTTCTTGAGACATGCATCAAACTCTGCCCAATCAGTTATACTTGTAAAAAGTAAATTACTCCCATCTACCCCTTTTTATGCTTTTAGTCTATTCTGCTGCAGCTGTCTAAAATCCAAGTAACGAACGAAATTCCCAACTATTTTATCTGCTTTCCAGCATACCTCTGTGGATGGATACACTGAACCACATGTCCAGCCTATCAAGTCAAGTAGCAGACAAAACATCCCCAGATGTAGAAATTCCATTACGTCTACCAATGAAGAGCATCCTCACATTGGAAATTATCGCTTACTGAAAACGATAGGAAAAGGAAATTTTGCCAAAGTGAAACTGGCAAGGCATGTGCTTACTGGAAGAGAGGTAAGCCTTTCAAAACCAAGAAAAGACTGACAGTATGTTTTATATTCTCTTTGGCTATCTTTATAATAAGTATTTCTGCTATTCTTTTACTTTTCTCTTCTGAATAGAAAAAGCCCATTTTTTGTCATCATAAAGGAAGATGCAAAGAGGCTGTTTCAGGATATATGAAAAGTTACCTGAGGTGCCTGAGTTTTCTCCCCTCTAACTGCTCAACCCTTTTTTTTAAAATGGAACTTCCTGATGAAGAGATCAAAAACTTTGTTGTGCATCAGGGGGTATTTTGGGGCTGTGGGAGGGTTTGTTCATCCCCAAATATTTCCAAAACCAAAGAGAAATCTATTGCTAAATAGTTTCATTGATATTGATAATCTGTTGTTAGGTAGGTAGATCTTGTGTTTGGAGGGCCTGGTTTTGCAGTGGACAGGGTAATGTTGTTGTGTCCAAACACCGATAAGTATAAAACTGGTTCCATGGTTTCCATCCAGTGGCAAAGTTCTGAGCTACTTCTGGTAGATCCTAATAGGTGAGAAATTTTGCTTGATGAAATGCATAAAAGAAGACATGTATGCATGTCGTATAGGCACATCTAACCTTTTGCTCACAGAGGTGCAGTATGTTTTTGTTCAAACATTTTTCTGAGATAGTAATACATGTTTGTTTTTTCCCCAAGGTTGCTGTGAAAATAATAGATAAAACACAGCTAAATCCTACTAGTCTGCAAAAGGTAAGAATATACCATAACATCTGAAATTCTGTAGAAAGTTGAACTGTGATTTGGGCAAAAATATTTGGTCCCTTTATCTTGCTAAACAAACATCTTTGTGTGTGTATGACCTTGTGAGACAGTGGTATCCAACTGTCTTCACTGTAATGCGCATGTGCAATTTGTCTGAAGGCAGTTACTCGATGTGGTTCCTATCTAAGCATGGTTTCTTTGCTCTTCCTCCTCCAGCTTTACTCTTTGCTGACAATAAACTTTTTATCTAATGAAGTACACAAGTAGTTTGTCTACATACTAAATCAAGTCGTAATGCTGTAAAGGATAGCATTTTTCTTGGATTTTTCTTTAATGTAGTAATTGGTTTTATGTGGAGCTATAAGAGTACAAATTTTTAAGGCTCTAATTTTTTTTTTACCTTTGTTTTTATAATTTTTCAACTTTAAAATACTTGTTAAACTCAAGGGACCTTTGGCAATTACTTTTGTGTATAGAATTGACAAAATGACTGAACATAATCAGGACATTCTTGTTTGTTGCACTTTCAGTGCCTGTAGGTAGAAATTCAGAAGTCCTTCATAACTGTTGTGATACGTGTTTTACTAAAACCCTGGGTTGGTTTTTTTGTTTGGTTTGGAGTTTTTTTACTATTTAACTATGCATATGTTTGGTTTTGACTGAAGCACAGAAATGTTGTATTGTCCTCCTGGAGGTTGCCTGTTATAAAAATTTGGGATACTTTTGTTTACAAAATACTGGACTGCTACTGTCTGTAGCTGTAGAATGAGAGAAAGAGGCTAGGGCTTATTGCTGTTCTTTTATCTCTGGCTGCTGCTACGTTTATTTTATTGTGTAACTTTGGTTATGGGGAGTTACAAACAACTTTGCTTTAATTTCTTTTCCTTTGATTTATTTTATTTATTTGATTTATTTGCTTTAATTTCTCTTTTGTAGTATTTTTGTTTGAGTACGAGTTCTTCAGGATTTTTTTTTTTTAAATTCAACCTACTGTGCAGAGTCCATGTAAAAGCTTTGCTGTCCTTAAGTCCTATATCCTACATTAAGCAAATATCTTTGCTAATATTTGAGCTAGTGAAGAGGGACCTACAGAGGCAGTATGTGACAGAGCATATTGGGGAAATCCTGTACTCCTCACGTAGCTTGTTTCCTACATAGCTTGGTATTTACACTTGGAGAGCTAGGTGAGTTTGTCTCATTGTTGAATAATGGGAGGGTGAAAAATGTTAAAACTTTCTGGAAAGCTAAGCATGAAAAACTTATCTTGTGGGATAATTGATTTAAGAATAAATAAGTTGTATTTCACACAAAAATATTCAATAATTGGTTAAAAATCATTCCAACTATAAATGAAACTTTCATAGCCTGAAAAAGATGTTGTGGCACTGCACAAGCAGTACACAAAATACCCTTGTAATAGGACATTGCTGCTATTTGTTTTTTGAGTGGGAAGCTGATGACAAGAGAAGCAATTTTAGGTACAGCTAGAAGCAGCTTATTGCAGAACTAAGAACAGAACTTAAATTAGGTGATTTAATCATAATTCCACTCTTCTTCGATAACTTCCAGAAATATTTATCCCATGCACCTTCTGCTTACACTGGAAAGTGTAATAATTTATTCGTATAAAGTTTTCCTTTGTCACATCTTGATTTGTAATTTTCAGAATTGTAAATTTCAGGAAAATAATAATCTCTAAAAGTCTTCAGCTTCTGAGAACTTTGAGTGAAACTGTATATTGATTCCTGGAAAGCTTTTCAGTAAGCTTACGCACAGTTTTTGCACGCTCACTCAGGCAACTGTAGTCTTTTAAAGCAAGTAAGGGTGGGAGAGTGGTTCATCAGCATGCTTGGAATTACTTCATCTGTCAGTATTTTGATAGGTCATTTGCATATTGTAAATGAAACAATAAAAATATGTTCCTGTTCTATGAAATCACAATCATTGTTTTTCTTTCTGCACTGAGATGTTAGATAAAGTTTGTGATTCTTTATGTACTATATAGTGTCATTGTAATGTGAATTTTCATAATTTTGTCATTGGGGTTATACTGTGCATAGGATTGTTAAGTAGTCAATTTTTTCTTCAAGAGGTAATGTTGGGGTTGGGAAGCAATGATAGTAGTATTTTTTTAATAGGAACAGACACTGTTCTGAAGAATGTTTGTAGAGGAATGCTGGAGTATGTTATTGCCACAAAAATGCCACTCCTGAGTTTGAACCTATCTAAATTACTGTAGTTAAGAGGGCAGTCTCTAGAACTTCAAAGCTTGTAAATTGTACACAGGTCAACAAAACTTTTAGGCCTTCAATCACCATTGATTATTATTAATCAAATATGCAGTGGTCTTAGGCACAGGGTCATTCACAAAACTGTCCCCTTTCCATTCACTGTAATAAAAGATACCACAGAATCATTAAGGTTGGAAGGGACCT